TGCGTGAAACATGGCGAGTGAAGCGCATATCGACAACCCTTCAGCCAGGGATGGTGGCATCTCCGGATGAAAGCTTCGCTTCTACTAGCCGGGTGTTACCGGTTGAGGCGGTTGATAAAAACCAATGGCGGCAAATATTGTCAAAGCTTGCCGTAAGTCAACCGAGTGTACCTGAGCACCATGGTACCAGTTTAGATAACGCGTTGACCACCGTTGCCAAGTTTGAGAATTGCCAGCTTCCGTTCTGGCTCTGCCTCCAGCCAATATGTCACCAGGCATGAACCAGGCACGGCAGGATGCAAGGCAGGCGCCGCATCGCACAGAAAATTTGTGTTGCATAGGCTACGTAAATTTTCCGATACCGCTATGCCAACTCACAAAAAATGAGCATTTTCCAGTTGATTAAGGACAGGTCATCAAGTTGGACAAATACTAAGGATAGTCGTGAAAACAACTTTTGATTTGGTTTGGAATGCAAAGTGCTGCAATGGTTGTCCCCCACTTGGTGCTTGCGTTCTTATCAGCGACGTAAGTGGTGAGTGCCTAATTACAGTACCAGACAAAATTTAAAAAAGACAAATGAGACCACACCACAAATTTAGGAACAGAAACTACCCTATCTCTCAGAATTGCCCTTCAAACCCTGGACAATGCCTTCCCAAGTGTTTGGGTGTTCCAAACGTAAGTTTAAAAATTGTGGTGCTATCTCTTCTTTTATAACAGATGGAATTACTAGGGGCTCCAGGCCTCTCCGAAGCTATATGAAGTGACAGCACTGTCTCGATGATGATTGGGATTTAAGGGTGCGTCGGCTACTTAGGTCATTTTGCGCCAAATAAGCTTCCAAACACCAAGTGTGTGGAGCGCCCTGAATGAAATGTTTCCTACTCCCAGCACTCAAACAACAGTAACGGGGTCACACACCTGCCGTCGTGCATCACTAATCAAGGTGTGAATCGCCACAACTTGTCCGCCGACCTACACCCGTTCGGCTCACGTCAAGGCTAAAAAACACCAGACGTGCCTGCCGCGGCTGCATATATAGCATGATCATGGCCGACATATCACTGCTTACCGCACCTCCTGCATTCCGCCGCCGAAAAACGACGCACTGCGGTTTGCCGTGGAAAATGTTAGCCGAACAGCTTTCTGGTGGATGATCTACGAGCCATGGTATAGGTTATTAGTGCGCCACTAGCGACGAGAGATGGTCAGCTTGACAGAGACCTAGTCGTGGGCAAGTGCTGGGAGAAACGGAGCAGTAGGCGTGCTAACAGACGTGCACAGGCGGCTACTGCACGCCACCGAGGTGGGGTCGGAGGCAGCTTACTGCAACCAAACAGCACCAATCTGGCCATACGACGATCTGATCGACCTGATCTTTCTGACCGACGCATCAAATAGGTAATTTGAAAGACCACCAGTTTTAGGAGACAGATGACAACCATATCACTAGTTTGTTATGTATAAGATGTTTTGAAAGGCAAAAAAGACGTTTATCCCTAGTGTAGAGATCGCGCAAGCGAAGTAACTTTATTGTTCATGCAAATGATTTCCCAACCTCCGACGAATCACTTTCCCTACCTCTAGCGCGGCCTTAGGAAAGCCTTACCGAGGGAAAGGCACGCTGAGTAGGCCAATGGTTCTTCCTTGAGTTTGCGGCACATTTTGCAGAGCATGTTGTAAGGGGAGTCTCGATGCTCAAGCCTCCATTTGTACGAACAATGAATTTGGTATATGATTAAGAATGATGGGCTATGATGACTGGTAGAGCATGTAATCAATACATTTCCATATTATAAGAAGCTATTGGTTACGCTACGCTCAACACTGATAACGTCTTTAATTTTCAATGCAATGCGGGTTGGTATCTCAAGTAGCAAGTGTTTGTTGCCACACATAATAATCATCGACCTGTTCCTCGCAGGAAATTTCGCTTCGAGCCGGCAAACTCGGACACATGCCATGTAGTTTCTTCAGATGCTCTTGAGCACGGCCTCGCAGTCGGTGCGCCCTGCCCATGATCAGACACGGCACCGCGGCTGCCCGCAGGCCCCACAAATCGCATTTCGAGTGTTCTGCATTACCGGTGATAGTCTGGTGCTCACACTGAGAATGTTATGACAAGGGACCGGACTCGATCGCGCGCGTGGGGCCTCATGACACTATCCCGTACACAACGCGATGGTGATGGATGATGGGAGTCATTTTTAGATAAAAGGCCCAAAGTTGTGGAAAAACAAGGTGTTTCACTAGTAGTAGTTTCCCTCCATAAGTTGGATTCACAGAACTTCCCAGAGGACATATGGTGCCAGAGAAACAGAATGCATTTTTTAATATTCCCATTGTTTCTAGCTAGCTACAGCAAAGACAAGGGTGATCTTTCTGTACATAATGCAGATCAATTGATGACGTACGGAGCACTAACGGCAACGCGGGCGGATCAATGCGTGGTTTTCGCCATAACCCAATCAATGATGAGAATTATCAAAAAGATAAGGTCTGGCTTAGGTCGGGTATACTAACGGTGCGTGCAATGCGAAAACGTAGCTCTGGAGGAGCTACAACAGATCAGAGAACATGGTAAGGTCTAGAACGCACCAGCAAACAAGAGGCCCAAAACCCACTAGCAGTTCCAAAAATCGGACCGATTAAGAGGCGGTAGGCTTCCTGGTGCAATCTGGTGCCTTGGACGTCCGGTACGTCAACAGCGTGCCTCGACCTCAAAGACAAAAGTAAGCCTCATGACCAAAGATGGTCAAGAAGTGTCCACGTGGTTCACGACGATGAGGGATCGTACCACGTCTATTTACCACGGCCTTACTCAGAAGCAAAATGTTACGAACAAAATATATGTTAACATTGAGGTGACACGGAGCAGTGGCGCAATGAGTCGGCGATACCTTCCAGCGGTGCCAGGAGCCAACGGCACATCCGGCGCATACCACGTAATGGCAGTCGCTACTGAGTAAGCCACTCCACCGGACTGGCGCGACGTGAGCCTCTCATGCCGTCGCTTCCTCGCATGCCGTCCGGCTTCCATTAACCGGGTCTCTGCCGTTCGCTCATCGGGTGAGAACAACAGCTACCACAAGCATCGGGAGATCCACATCCATTGACACGTGACTTATGCTCGCCGAGCGCTTCTGGCAAACTGCACGTCTCAAGAAACGCGAAGCGCTACGGGTTTCGAAGCAACTAGGTGGATTCCGCCCGGCAATACGTTGAGCGAGGTACGCGGTTGCATCGGCAACATCCGGGGAATACGGCACAATCTGCAAACACATCTAAAATGCAGCAGCAGTACACTCTAGAGGAGCATGTGGAAACATCCGGAAGCATCTTGTCAACCGGTATCGGTGGAAGGTATTTTTAAGCCGTCTTCAATGGGACATGGACTTCTGTTGGAAAATGATGCGCACTTTGAATGAGTTTTGATGCGCAGAACGGCGATAATGACAGGAGGCATCAATGCGCCGTTCCTATCTTCCCGTGGGAACAGCGCACATTAATTAAATGCGACACAACACAATTATTTACATATGATTACTGAGATGGTGATGATGATTTGGGCCTCGGGTCGCGCCAACTTCAATGGCTATATCGTGTCCGTGTGACAACTGGCATGAGGAAACCAAAGAATCTTATGGGTCATTCATGAACAGCTCAAACGGAACGCGCACTGCTTTTCGCACTCATCTGATTGGATACATGCATCCTGAGTGTTAAAAATACGGGACCCACGCGTTTCAACACGCTGACATTTTCACCTAGTTGGATGCATTCATCCTTATCTGAACGACAAGGGACCCGCCACTTCAGCACGTTGAAACAAATTTATGTCACTCACCGTTTTTTAGTCAATCACAACTGGTATGAACAGCTGACGAAAACTCAAGGCCTAACTGAATCTCGCTTTATATCAATCATAACTGGAGCCGCCGGCGAGCAGCCGGCCTGTCAAAGCTAGGTTCCGCCCCCCCCCCCCCCCGCTACGCGGTCGGAGAGTGCTTCGCTCCTCGGCCCGCGCCGACTAGCTTCACACCGCACTTGCCGCTTGCTGCGCAGTTAAGATTCACCTCGCGCGGCACACTGTCTTACTGCTGGCCGCTGGGATACTGCCTGCACTGTTCGCTGTTGGTCTCGCCCAGTGCGTGAAAAGTCGCTGCTAGTGCTATGACACACTAAATCTTCGGAATTCTACTGCCGACGACATCGAAGTGTGCACTGCTGGCGCTGGGCGACATAAAGGACGCAGCCGCCTGTTGTTCTGTTGTCTTTTATGCACATCCGGTCTGTCTTGCGCTGTACCCGTCCCTTACAAACGTTAGCCGTTCGGCATATAGAACGGCCTGTCAAGCTACACGTGCCGCCACATCAGAAGGCTCCCTGCAACCTGCCTCCGGTATTTCAACACTGGCAATGCTAAATAATGCCTCATTGATCTTATCATGCTGCTTCGTTCCCAAAATTGGCATGATGATATGCCCCGCCCGACTTCAGTCGTTGTCCGTCTCTGCCGGCTTTCGGCACCCACAGTTTCTGCCGGCCGATTTCAACCGGTAGAAAGAAGATGGCAGGAACTGTCACAGCTGGTTGCTGCCAGCCCTGCTCAGAGCATGATTGGGGGAGCTGATGCTCCACGCAGATCGCATTCCAGTGAGCCTTGTTTTAAGTTAGACGAGCAAATGGTAGCGGGACAGGCTGAGGGTGAGGAGTACCATCAGCTATTACCTTCCCGTCCCTGTGCTTTGATTGTCTTCAACAGGTGCTACAACATCTGTCAACAAATTGTTTATATAACAGCCTTCCTCACCCAAATTTCCACACGTGCCGTTCAGCTGCGAGCATCGTGAGCACTTCACAGCAGGCGAGCTGTGGCCCTGGGCGTTCAACGTGCTCTGCTGACGCCGTAGCAGGCGCCTGTGAGCCCGGCAGGTGCGCGCCACGCCCACCGCCACATCCCGAAGAGCACCAGCCAGCAGACGGCGGGTACTCACCACTCCGTCGTTGATGCGCTTGCCGAAGATCATGTACTCCGTTTTCGGGTGTTCTGCGTTGACGTGTTCGTAGCGCGGGTGCCGCTTGCGCACCGAGACCTTGGAGAGGCCCCAGCCGCCCATCGGCAGCCAGCCGCCCATGTTGTCGTCCCGCATCATCACTTGGGCCTGCACTAGTACCAGACTGCCTCCGCTGCAACAGAGAGAGGTGCGCGGTGCGTCAGCGGTCGCCAGCTCCCGACCCAGGTCGGGCCGCCGCAGCGGCGGCGGCGGCGGCGGCGGCGGCGGCGCGACACAGCGGCAGGGACGCCGGCGCGCGCTGACGGGACTTAGGTGGCCGGCACACGGCACGACGCGCCACCTCGCGAGGATGTGGAGCGCGCGTCACCCGTGACGACGCCGACCTGGGGCTTCCAGGAGCTTCTCCACGCAGTGCGTCACACGGCGTCCGTGAGCAAAAGCTGCCCGGATGGCCGCCGACTGTGGGTGGAACTGCATACCCGGCCGACCGACGACGGGGAGACCGCGCCCAACATACCGGAAGAGTTGCGACAGATGCAGAGCGCCACGCGTTCACGCAATCGCGGCACAGATTCTCTGCCACGTCCTACGTGCGTCGTCGTACGGTCACGGCATACTCTGTGAGAACGACAAGCACGGCACACCGTCACGGCCAAAGGACAGCGCCAGAAACTGTGCGCGTCCAACAACCGGCAGACTGGGGAAAAGTTATCAGGGAAGCTATTTCTGTCACGCTGAGTCCGCCGAGCCTGATGTGTGATGTCTTGCCACAGTCATTTAGTGCCAAGTAGCGACGGTGTGCGCGCTGTCTGTTCTACGAAGTTAGTAGCCGGGTGTATACTGTCTGAATAGGGAGCTCCAATACACGATCAAGGATACAGCTGGCAGGACAAAAATACACTTGTACCTGCTACAGCACGAGGCCACAATACTGAACACTTCTATGGTTACAAATGTCAGTAGGCACAGACTACAGCATAGCTAGAAAAAGGCAGAGCATATGGCTCAATGTCATTACAAAATTGCGTCCGATGAATATACCACAGCTCAGGTACGACACCGAATGAAAAAGATCCGCGTTGGCAGGGCTTAATTTACCACAGGCTTGACATGGCGCGTCCGCGGAGCATGCCGCAAACATCAAGATCAGTCGTTGAAGGACGATCCCGCATTCCTGGACCCCCGATAACACGGCCAGGCAGGCAGATTGCAGGAACAGACTATGCGCGCGGACTCAGCCAAATGGGGGCGGGCATGTCTCCCTTCGTCACGAGCCTAGACGTTTCGCTTGCGGGCGTTGCCTTGGACGAGGTCCATTAATGACGTCGGCCAGCCCTGCTATTGACACGGAACGGGTCGTCCGGGTGCGGCGGCGATTGTAGCTGCAGCAGTGTGGCTACTCCGCACGGGGTGGTAAGCACACCTCGATTCCCGTGGCCAGAGTGACCCCCACGGCCGAGCCTCCAGCCCCGAGGGCACGGCGTCAGAGTCCGACACGGTACCCGGATTGACGGCAGTCGCCATCACGGCCCCGAACATAAGACGACGCGCGGCTCGCAGCAGCCCACGCGCTCTGTGGCGTGGGCTGCCGCACACAAACGCAGCGCTGAAGATATATCACTTGGATCGCTTGCCATCCGTAGCAATAATGTATAAGGCCGGCGCGCACTCGGTCAGATTTCCTGTCATTAGCGGGTATCAGCTGCTTAGTGGGCGGCCCGCGCCTTGACGCGTAGGTGGCCGCCCCGCCAGCCGCCGTGTTGGCCAATAAGCCGCGCTGTCCGCCACGTGCGCATATCAAGTGTGACGCAGCGGTGAGTCAGACGGACAGACCCTCCCGGCATTTGGCGCGTGCAATGTTATCAACCGTGACAGCGCTATCGCCGGGGGGGGGTAGCGGGCCGCCAGTGACGCCGTGCCTGCCGACTCCGACGCCGTTCAACGACGGTGGGCCCGCCGGACGGCCCGTCACCGACGCGGCGCGGTGGTGACGTCGCCGCGCAGCCCTTGCTCGGCTCACTTGGCCCGGGCTGCGCGACTTCAGCATCGGGTCAAATAGCCCCGCCAAACCAGTCATCAACGCGCCGCCGGAGCAGCTGGCAGCGAGCACCAGTGCGCCCGGTGGCGGCGCGTCCCCAAGCCCGCCGTCACCGCCTGACCCCGGCCCCAGGCCAACCAGTCGCCGCCGGCGCTGGCGGCGCGCTCGCGCGGAGCCAGCCGGCCGCCGCGGTCCGGCCAGGCCGGGTCGTGACCTCGGGCCGCCGCCGCCGGCTGACGGGACGCCTCCCCTATTAGCCGCCGGCCAAATGAGCGGCGCCGCCGGACGGCACACTCAGCCGCCGCCCGCCTATTGAAATAGCCCGGCCAATTTCCGAATTACGAAGGCTTATGAAGCCGGCCAACGGTCGACGGATATACCGAAATAGTGGGAACGTTGCGCCTTACGCCCGCTGGTCTTGGCACCGCGGTCGGCCTGTGTCATGGCAACTGCTGCTTCGCGGACGGCGCCGCCCAGGCACTCTCGGCGGGGGCAGCGCCACACGGGGACGTGGGGGACGACGGCGCTTCATTACCTGGAAATACAACGTAACGCCTGCGGAGTCGAATGAAAAGAATGGGTCCAAAATGCCTCCCCTAACGGTCCCAAAACAATGGCCGGCGGCGGCGACCTCGCAAGGAAGGACGCCGGCGCGTGCCCATTTCTGAGGAAAATCCCCCCGCGCCACACCAGAAGTGTGCCAATGGCCCACGACGCTCATGTTGCGCGATTCCGAGGCGGTGGGAGCACAAACAGTCCTGAATCAAAACGAGAACCCAGTGCTGAGCAGTCTTCAACAGATAAACATACAGTCTGTGCGGTTGGAGTGGTGTAACGCTAACGCAATCTCCAGCGGATTCTCTGGCGGTAGATGGGTGACGCCACAAAAAAACGCTGAAGGTTAACAATATTGTGTGCGTCTAAACAGTAAGATGCAACAATTGAAAAGGTGGGGTTTCAGAAGTGAAAATACCTTAGAAACATTTGAGGAACTTCGCCATTATGAGGACTGCACTGATACAAAAGCAGACAATATTTTGACCACTGTTCCAGGTACCATGTAACACTGCCAGATGACTAACCGTCAACTAGTATAATTGTGTGTACGAGGTGAACCGCATTATTCAATGCATTTGAACGCACGCTTTTTGATCAGGCATACCAAAACATTGGAACATTGCACATCTGAAGCATTCCGACACGACCAAAAGTAATCATCCCATTTCATCCCATTTGATTACAGCGGGAAGCGTAAAACTTCACGTTATAATACGTCGGCACTGCACGGGTCCAAACCAGCCCGGATGTCGGCAGTCGGGTGTCAGAGTGACATGCACAAATCACATGCACACATGCACATAAGACATGCACAAAATCACTGGGAAAAGAACGAAGAGTGATGTTGCTACGGAGACGCGTCACTGTGCGCAGCAGCCACTTCGGGGTCACCGCGCGCAGTCAAGTTCGAACAACGCATGATTGTTTTCCTTTTCATCTTTGCAAATTCAGTCACACAAATTGTGTGACTGACAAATCGGGCTCGAAAATCCTGAAAACTTATCACTCCTCGATAAGCCACCAAGCATCCTGTGGTCTGGACGCTGGCTTCACCCAACTGGAGGTCCGCCGACCTATGAGACACGCTTGCCACAGGCGTATCCGTCGTACTTCGGTGGATTTGTGACGTCAGCAGCCAGGCCGTGACACGGTCGCTAGCGGTGCGCGTGCTCCTTCCTTCGGCGAGTTCAATGGAGCCAAACATCTCACGCTGGGTTTGGACCGTACCGTTTCGGCCCATGCGCCGGAAACAAGTCCAGTTCGCGTAACACTTCGATCCCCCATCCATCGACAGCTGCGGCCAGCCGGTGAGGCTACAGCTGCCTACGCGCTGCGGTTGGGAATCGGACCAGCTTTAGTTTCGCTTAATCAGACGTCCGTTTGCGAACGGAAGTGTGACGCCCTTGGCTGGGAATTTCACCCGGCCATTCGCTGAGGTTACACTAGACTCGATGCCACCAGCAGGGCACGGGGACCAGCAGGACCCGGTACCACCAGCGGGGCACGCACCGACGGCAGCCGGGATAATGGCTGCTTTTATCCCATCAAAAACAGCTTATTGCCTTCAACACTGTTGTATACTCGGCAACGAAAACAAAACTACACATACATGTAGCCCAGTCATAAAGACCAACACCCACTCAAAAACTGTGCGTGCCTCCAGTACGCTGACCATTACCACTTTGATCTAATGCAGCGTGCCCATATTGCGTCAATGAACCGTCCCGTCTGCTAGAATCTTAGGAACGACGAACATAACAATGATACTAATCAGCTGTAAGACCTTTTTAACGCGTCCGGCCCAATCCGTTTCCTTTTTGGTATCACGTACATAATTATCTTACCTTCCCAACTTGGCATTAGATACAAACTCTAGCATAACCTACATGAGTATTATTTGGAATCGCTCAATTTATCAGCGTTTGGTTGGAAACGCTGGGAAATCTTCTTCGTTACTCTGTTGCCATCGGCTCATAGCCGACAGACGTGACTGATTCAGCCAATTGAAAGCCATCTTCTATATCAGCCACTGCAGATTCAAAGAGCCTATGCCAAGAATGGGTCGCTATAAAACTGCCAAAGAAGCTAAACAATCTTTTCACCAAAACTTAATGCGTTTTTTCAAAGCGAAACAAATTCTTAGGGTATCTGACATGCATGCATTACATCGCAACGCCAGTTTTAACGCTACAGAATGAAGCATTCGTCCATGACAGTCCATGAACGAAATACCTGAAACTGACCTTTCTGAGCCATGCATGCCTCCAATGACGGATGGGAGCAATAAACCGCAAGCCTAAAAAGGATGCCCGAAACAAATTGTGGCTTCTTTTGCGCGGAAAATACGCAGTACGCCACAAGCTTCATCAGGATGGAGCGTTATGTCGCTGACTAAATCGAGCCAAAAACGCCCTGAAGACGTGCATGCTTATCTGCATACAGGGGAATGTTAGATACCACGAGCATTTCATTCCCAGAAAACTGCTTTAGAGACTTAAAAAACCGTACGCAAAGGATTGCGGGTGAACCAGGGCAATGCCTTGTCGCAAACATACCCATTTTAAGACTCAAGCAAGTTCAACATTTTATAGCGGTTAAGTTTTTGACAAAATAAAGTCGCCTGCCTCTGCATAAGTTGCACACCAAACCGCATCTGGAACATGTGCTAATCGAGCACCATACTATCCACCATACGCCGCGACGGTAATATTTGTTTTTTAGCCGATAATTTAGCAGATTAGCTGCTATGTGTAAAAATGTGGCAAAAAATGTTCTAAATAGCAGAATAATTTGTAAAATTTGTAATTGGAACGTTATGCATGACAAATTATGATTATATCTCAGACCACCTAACACATATATAGATGCGAGCGACACCAGCCAAACTAAATGACAACCACTTCCGAAGCCCACACGCCAAAAAACCAATAGTACTGCTGCGTCCAGAACAAAATTATCGGCCCCATCCTGCCATGATGACCTCCAGGCGAGTCGACTCCCGGTCACCCACTTTGAGGCGCTGCACGCGCTGGAGGTGGAGCTCGAGCTGGAGAGATGGCGCAGGTGTCGTTTCACTTTCTCCGTGATCTCCAGCATGGCTTCACCACTGTCGCCCATCGCACGTCGGACGCACCATCGCCGGCCGCGCGTCGGTCACGTCACAGCGCGTCTGCCGCCGCCGCCGCCGTCGACCGCCGCGTGCGCCGGCGGACGCGGCGGGGGGCGGGGCAGGCAGGGGCCGGGGGGGGGGCCCGGCGCGCGGGGTGGGGAGAGGGGGGGGGGGGGCGCCGGACAGGGGACGCGCGGGGCCGGTGCGCCGCGGGCGCGGGGCGCGAGCCTCCACTCCGTCCGGCCGCGGCGACGCTTCCGGCCGGGCTGTTTCCGGCGCGCGGGCCCGGCCGGCCGGCGCCGTATCGATCGGCGCCGGCGTCCATTCATGCCCAGGTGGCGGGGCAGCGCGCGCCAGCCGCGCCGCCCCCCGAGCTCATTCATTCGCCCCGCCCCTGGGTGAGCGAGCGAGCGGCGCCGCCGTCGCCGCGCCGCCCGGCCGCCATTGCCCGGGTAACAGGTACACACGGTGGCGGACGGGCGCGGCGTGACCCGAGCGGCCGGTCGTTCTCGCCCTGTTACCGGGCGGCGCGACGGCTCCACTGCGGCAGCATGGCCGCCGGCCGTCACGCAGCGCTGCTCATTCAGTGAAGATGATTCAGGCTTTCAGGCGTCCCGAATGCCTAGTCAATGCGCGTCCAGTATACTGTCAGAGCGGCGCGTTCCGACATATAGACTTGGCGCAAAGCGATTACGCGTACTCGGGCGTATAATGGTTAAGACCTTATTAACTAACCGGCAATACCATAACATACTGAGGAGCAGAACAAAGCGCCCGCTTCAGTATTTAGGTGTGTTGCTGTGATGGCAGCACCCTAGAGTTTGCACCGCACGGGACGCACGTACACAATCACACACCAACATCCCACTAACACACATATACGCACTGAGCTGGAGACAATCACGGCAAACCGTTCGGTATTATTTGCCACACAACGTCATGCAATTACCACAGGTTAAGGTTCGGAAAATAAGACGCATGCAGGTGCGGTTGTACCCATAATTTCCCTCCCCCAGTTCGCGCGCCAGTGCACTAATTTCCGCACGAGCTATGCCAAATATTTGAAGATACCGGGCGTAGGGACGACATACTCAGGTTCCTTTCCAGAAGTGGGACCAAACAATTACACCCCTGGAAGGGAGGCTTTTTTGACTGACACTATGCCAATTTCCAGAACTAGCAATGAGCACATGACTGCCGCCGCATAACAGCAGCTGAAGACCAACCACAAATTTTAAAAACATTTGAAGAAAACGAAGTTACGGTATTTTTCTCCAATTAAGACCGTAGTACCTTTGACTTGGCTTCGGCCACGATGTTTTGCAATACGTTAGACGGAAAATATTGATGTAATTGAGGTACGGTAAAGCACCGGATCACCACATGGAGTTGTAACACTGAGCTTCAGACACCATGCCTATCGGCAATGCCTTCCTCCTCAAAGCGCAATATTGCGACCAACAACAGCATCATGGTGAAATCATATATAACACAGTAGTAATAGCCTTATTCCTCCAAGAAAAAAAGGAAATAATCTTTACATGCCTTGATATTTTGACGCGCCTTCATCAAAACGAGCAGCACAAGTTGGTTCTTTTAGGCAGGCTTTTTAATTAAATTTAGTTCTGCTATTCGTTTCAATACAGGCATATTACCAAAACATCGACACATCTGTATCTCCATTCCCCTGGTTTTTCTTCCAGTAATAAGGCTATTACTACTGTCTTGTTTATGTACATAACGTTCCTCAAAAATTCACTGAACAATGTACTGATGGTTAATCATTTAATTTCACGATGGCATTGCTCAGCGTGAATTCTCTAACAAGCTCATAGTTGTCTCGCATGCAAATAGATGGTACAGGATATTGCGACATCGCCTCATCCAAAAAATCTGTGCTGATGTTACCAATTGGGGAATATAGCAAGCTCGAGTCATTATCCGTATGCTCCTAAGATAACGATAAAGATGGCATCCGTTGCACATGACCACCCATAACTAAGCTGAAGTCCAGTGTAAAGGCGTGCTGTAACCAATCTTCCACCGTACAGCGAGCCTTCAATGAACAGCTCAACAGCACTTGGAACATCATTGTGTGCTAGCCTTATGGTTACTGAAACGAGGCTTGCCCGGTAAAATCTGCTTGCAACCCCAAGCAACGTACAAATATTGAACTGTAACTTATGCAATGGGACTCAGCGTGCCCTAGCAGAAACGCGATCTTACAAATACTGGTCCACATTGCGCGTGTTTCAGCCTTCTATCGCCGGCACACCAGTGCGTGGTGTATGTGCAAGTGGTGTAATTGGCTGTTAAGGTGAACACGTTCCCATAACACTGCAGCCTAGAAAGCGAGCAGCCCGCAGACATTAACACACGCATTATGACAAAGCACCGTCGCCAAGTGTTTGCGAATGTTTCTAGCTTAGAGTGTGGTACTGAGGGGGGGGGGGCTGGGGGGCTGCGCCTCGTCAATTTTCACAAAATGCAACCTAGTCCCTTCCAACTCTGCTCAACAAATGCCCGTCTTTCACGTTTCTGTCTTAGAAATGATATTTCATGTCAGGTCGTCATGATTCAAGCTTGACCCAACAATTTTGATTCTGATTTGTCCCAACCAACCTCGAGACGTGGTTACACAATATACACGTTACACGTGGTTGCAGCAATATATACGTGGCACCCCTTTGTATTTTTCACAGCAATTTTATGTCATTCTTTTACTAGCACCGACCGATCGGTGCAGTTTCAAACCAATTGCTTAACTTAACTTTTAAAACTTTTACATACTTCAGCATGTCTTCAAAGAATGCTGGGACTAAACAATACCGAGACCTACTTCACCAGAGGTTAAAGACAGTCCTTACCACACAGCGGAATTTCCTCGTGTGCTATCTCCACGCCTGCCTCGTGGTATAACCTTGTGGTGCAGCCGTGTCGTATTACCTATTTATAACCGAACGTGATTAAGAGACTGCTCGGCAAGCCGAGACGATTGGCTTTTCCCTGCACGCAGGCGAAGGTTGAATGCTGAGAACCGCTCCCGTCAGAACTCAGCACGCAATTTTCCACCAGAGCTAGATATATTTTTGGCCCTTGCCTTTTTGCCGTCTCCGCTTGCTGAGCAAGTTCTCTATCACGTTCGGTTTTTGCATTCCAATTTCAACAATTGAACTAATGTAAGCATTTCCCATAGCAAAGGCGCGTTGAGTAAAAAAGCGAGTGCAGGGACATTAGAAGTTGGAGCTTCGAAGAGCGGCAGGAACTTTTGGTTAGTGCCCTCTTGCCAACGTCTGCAGGACCAACGCCAAGTTTTCAGAACGTAAGGTCTCAGCCTTCCACGTCAACAGCAGTTCCTGCGCTCCTGCACGAGAAGTGCATGAAGATATAAGTTAAAGTTCGTTGGCACTGACATGCATTTCGCCTGGTGGGACCGCTTTAGTTAAACAGCATGAAGGGTCTTGAACATTTCTGAGAGCGTGTCGGCAGCATTATGTGGAAAACACCTGAAGCCCCATGTTTGCACTATACGCCAGCCAACAACGCCTCTGACCGACTGGTACAGTAGATACTTGTTGATGGTCCCCCGATGCATGAAACAATCCGTCGCAAAACACCTGGAGCAGGAGCACAAGCGCGCGAGCACGTTGCTAAAAATATACCCAGCTCACCTACCTGAGCCTAATTAAAAGGGGCAAAAATTGGCCAATCCAGGTAGAACTCGTTAAAACCAAATTGGACATGGCTTCCTAACGTCGTACGTCAGATTGTTCACCTCGTCGCGGTAAGAAACCAATCCCCAGAACTCCGCCGGCGGTCATGCGTGGGAGTCAGCCGCCGGCACTACGCAGCAACCTTACCCCACCCTTGCTTGGAAAGTATATTCCCCACCAAGCATCCGAATTTCAACGCTGGTAGAGAAAGTCGTTTTGTCACAGCAGAGGTGTTCCAAAAAAGGTGTGTGTGTGCCCCGAGCTGTTCTGTCCTGCTGGTGCTGGGTGCTTACCGCATGTACTGATTGCGCGAATTATAGATCACCGTATGCATGACTTTACAAATTGTAGTTACGCGATCGAGCGGCTAAAGTTTCACAGGGTGCACGCAAGTATCCCCTTATCACCCGCCAGCTTGTTCCTAATTTGAATGTCCAAACTCATGCCGCTCAAAATCGCACGAGCATGGAAGAGTGTGAGCCTCGGTGTTGGCCATCAATGCTTGCGAGCAAAAAGCCCAAAAATCAAGTTTACGGAGCACATAGCGCACGTCTCTGGCCACACGGGTATAACCCACATGTCACTGGACTCGTTTGGCCTCAAACTGTGAATGAGCTACAAGCACACAACCTATTAAATACACGCACGCAAGATGTCAACATGGTTTTTCGTACTTGTAGACTGCACTTTGTAACTTTGTACTTCATTCTATGCTCATGTTGTCCCCAAAAGTACAATTTCCTCCCAATGATCAGCAAAGACAATTGCTGCAAAGCCCAGTCCGCAGGCCTCCGGCCGAGACGAATCTTCAGAATCTGACAGGACCTGCGACCGATGTTTTTCTTGTGTTGAAAAACGCACGCGTTTAATCCATCACAAGCTTGCAACATTTCAACAAGACGTCTTTAATCCCTTTTTCCGTCGTCTCCGTCGGGAGACGCCGGTGGAGATCGGGTGGGGTGAGAGGGGGTGGGGGAAGGGAGGGGGAGGGAGGGGAAGGGGGAGCCGGACATCGCCCGGCGAGGGTTATGCGTACTTTATTATGACCAGGTTGTTGTGTTTCACCAGTAGCAGCACTGCCAGATACAACATATATATATATATATATATATATATATATATATATATATATATATATATCAACAAAACAGATCTTGCCGAAATGATAGCAAACTAATAACCAGAGCGTGTTTTGTCTCCGCTTTACCGCGTGCGTTTGGATCTGCCCACCCACGACGCACTCTTGTTATACACTCGGATGATGTGGCAGCGCCATGACGCACATGACATCATTTCCAATGGCGCCTGGACGCCTGAAAGCAACGAGACATC